GGGGTGTCAAACTCAATTCCTGGAGGGCCGGAGCCCTGCAGAGTTTAGATTAAACCCTGCTCCAACACACATACCATGTAGTCCCCCGCATTAAACTTTGTTGAAAAATAATTGCAAAAAAAAAAAAAAAAAAAAAAAAAATCAAACCCGGTGGCATCTGATGCATCTGAGCTTTTATGAAAACGAACTTCACTTTTCATAAATTTTATTGTATTGTTGTTTTTATTATATGAACAATATATTATATATTACATTATTTGGTTTTCGTCACATTTACAGTAAGCATGTTCTGAAGAGTTTAACAACCAAAGTGTTTGATCAACTATTCAAGACATTGTCTACAATATATGTATTGCTTCATATTTGGAAAACCTATCATTTTGTGAAATATTTTGACTGAAAAGGATGTTAGTGCAATATTCCGTAAAAATCAATGGCACTTTTTACATTTTTAATTGTGGCTTTAAATATATATATATATATATATATATATATTTTGCCTGAAATGTTGGTATTTTATAATAACAGGTTTTTTAAATTTGTTTATTAATAACAGATTAGCTATAGACCACTAAACACTAAAACTCAAGCTGAATTCTACAGTAGTTCTCTGAATGGTGAGCTCTGACCAATTAAAAAGTGAAGCAATCAAAACAGAACATTTATTTAAAACACTGGAAACCAATAAAACGCACTGCACATTCATGCTCATAAAGTAACATATTCCAACTTACCATATAATGCAGAGACAAAGTACTGCTTTGCTGCAGGCTGAATTTGCTTGTAGAAAACTGTGCATTATAATGTCAGGGAAACCTAGAGCATAGTAGACTAGATAACACAGTATTAGACCTTAAACCCTTAACCTACCCAGCAAGCCCTCCCCTCATCTGTGACAACAGTCTTATACATTCACTTTCAGAAATAACAGATGATGCTGCAGTTCAACTGTGTACATGTGAAATATGAAATACTTGTAGAGAGCATTTCATTTTTGATACTAGCAAATGTTTTGCAATAAAAACTGCAACATACAGTTGAAATACTATTTTGAGCCTTTAAATAATTAACATTTTAAAAACATAACGTAATGTATTTTGGAATATTTGTCTTTCATGAAGCCTAAAGGCATTCAGGTTTTTCCAATATGTGTTTGGAGTCTGTATTTCTCGTAAGTAGGTCACATGAAAGTTAACACAAAAAATCTATGAAAATGTTTGTTTTGAGTTGCATGGAATATAACCGTTGGACTTTCAGTTGAACATTAATAATCTTATTTACTGACTTGAGTAATGGCTTTGTTGTTAACAGTTCTATTTTCTAGTTTTACGATTGTTTAAATACTTTTCCCAATACAATGTATGTTTTTTCTCAAACTCTTCATGCATTTTGTTTTCTTATATATGCACCATTTAATCTCTCTTCCCAAAAGCATGACCTGTTTTTTTGTTTTTTTTTTAGTTTTAATGCATTTAAAAACACAGTACAATACACATGGATGTTTTAAATGAAAGTGTGGTCATTTATTTAACACTTATTTACAGGAGTTTATGATGTTATCAAATATCAAACTCCTCAATATGTGCGATTTAGCAGTGGTCCAGTATGTGATAATATTGCAGGATGTTTCTAAATGAATGCAAGTCAAGTGACCTACAACAGAAATGCCAGGCAGGCAGGGACCCTGTTAATCAGAACTAATTCCACCACAAATATCTAGCAGTTTTATGCTTCAACCACAAGAGGGTCAAAAGTTACAGCTTTAACTTTGTATCTACATAGAGATAAAATAGAAATTAGTTTGCATATAAAACCATCAAAATTGCATATAGCAGAAGAAAAATACTGGACATTCAAATATATGGGCTGTAATCATTTTTGCATTTCTGTTCAAAAATTTCTCACAGAGTGAAATAATTACACTCCTTTTTCTCAGACAGAAAATTAAATTTATTAAGCATTTGCAGAATAAGTGTCACCTCTCTACTTATTTATGACTGAACATGAATATAATTTGTTGCCATAACAATTAACCTTTGCAATAGGAAAAGTGCTCTATGTTGGAAGAGAGAAACATCTTTACTGGAGACCATTCATAATGATGACAGGTTATTCTGTATGGTGAATCCTAAAGCATATTTGGCCAAATCTGTTGTTAGATAAGATGCTAATAATACCTTATTCTTAATAAAAAAATATAAATAAAATAATGACATCAAGACTGTTGTAAACATAGTTACATCTAACCAGTGAAGTAAATGTGAAATTACGTGCTGTATTTCAGTTGATTTGCTGTTAGTCTTCTGGATTTCTCATTGATTTATCTTCTTTTTTTTTTTGACAAAATAAGGCAAACTAAAATGCTTTAGTACAGTGTCTGATTAGTACAGAACAGGAAATAATAAAAATGGCACTTTGTCTTTCTTAAATTATAATCATTTGAGAAAATCTCTACAATACAAAAAAGTGATATTTTTGTAAGAAAATGAACAAAGATATCCAGAGAGTAAACTGCTTCACCTACAACACTTCTTGATTCAGTGAATGTTGTAGCCCTTGGTATGGACCTTCTATTCTGATAGATTCACAGAGAGGCAAAAATAATGCCAGGTAAACAAACATCAAGCCTGAAAACATATATATGTATACAGTTTACAGTATTGCTTATGAACTGCAGTGAGCTTGCAACACTGTAAAGCAAATATTATAACAAAAGCTCCAGAGCAGAGATTTAAAACAAATACATTGTGTCATTCAAAAACATAACACTGACAGTATCATAATACACACATTATTTGAAAATTATTTTAAATTTTTCCTTTTTAAATAATCACGTCATAGTAAAAACTCTAAAAGAGAATGTCTGTCATCATGTCAGTTTTTAAAAGAAAAGAAAAAAAAAATCCGTGCAGATGGTCATTAAAAGTTTATTCAATGACATTCAATCAAATTCCTTCCAAGAAAAACAAAAGCAATGATTTTAACCAATGTTTTTGGCTTCTCCAAATGTAGAATGAACTACACAGCTTCACAGTTGATCTTGTCCATTAGAAATGACAACAGAAATCAATCCCCAAGTCCATCAAATGCCCATCACAGTTAAACTTTGATTTCACTGGTCCAATTTCTCATACTGTGACAGTTTATTATTATTTTACAAAAAATATTTCATTTCGGAAGTAGTTTAGATAGTGGCTACAGGTAGACATCGCAAACTAAAGGTACACTTCATTTATTAAAATAGATTTTATTTTCTATCAGTTATTAGAGTTTGTGAAATGTCCCACAGAGCTCACACAGCTTAAGGTCCCATCTGTATCACTGTGATTTCTGGATTCTCTCAGTGCTCTTCTGTATGTTGAGGCTCATTCTTCCTAAGGATGAAATCATAAATACAGCTCATACATAAAGTTGAGAAATACTGAATTTCATGGACATGAGACAAAAGTGTGATGTCTGTCATAAGCCTAAATCATTAGCAAAATCTGCCAGTTTTTGCCAGCTTCAGTAAATTACTGAGCAATGAGAACTCGATTTTGTCAAAAGATGTTAGTTTATTTATGCATAACCAAATTAATATGAGCTCAGCATTCGCCATTTTATGATATCACAACCCAAAATGTTTCTGAACACCTCCTGAACTGTAGGTCTATGAGACCGAACGATGACTGTCAATACGGTCTTACCGTAGCAGGTACCATTCTGCTATCGTCAATACTAAATATAAACAAAGTCAGATGATTGACTTTAAAGGAGACATATTATGCCCCTTTTTACAATATATAATATAAGTCTCTGGTGTCTCCAGAATGTGTCTGTGAAGTTTCAGCTCAAAATTCTCCACAGATAATTGATTATATCATTTTGAAAATGCCTATTTAAGTGGAAGCACTGTCTCTTTAAATGCAAATGAGCTGCTGCTCCCCGCCCCCTTTTCCAGAATAGAGCTGCGCCTTTACAGCTCGGACCTGCTAAAAACATCTGATTTGGTTCTGATTATCATGCTTATCGCGCTGAAATCATGCTTTTTAAAGCATATGAGTTTAAACTTCTGATATAAGGTTTTCTGAGTGCACACATCCGAAGCACACGCACAGAAAGCGGCTGTCACAGCATGTGAGTACTAAACTAAGGTCTCACTAAACAAAGTTACTGGGTTAATCTTTTTCACATTTCCTTGATTATGCACCGTGGACCTGATTATAGCACTTAACACCGGGAAAAGTCAGATTTTCATGATATGTCACCTTTAAGGGGTTTGTTTCGTAAATGTTTCGTTTCGTAAAAATGACGTAAAAATCTGAACTTTGATTAAAAGATGAACCAACTACTTCCTCTTGCCTGGAACACTCTGGGTGCTCTGGGTGACAAGTGATGGTTCTGGCTGGAGTATGCGTATGCAATAGTATCTGCTATCCAATGTGACACATTCTGTTTCGAAGCTGGTTAACTAGCATTTTTCTCATCAAAACACAGAAACAATTACAACATATGGTGTGATGTACAATAGGTTCCAGTCTTGCTCCTTGGGGGCCAGTGTCCTGCAGAGTTTAGCTCCAACCTGCCCCAACAGACTTATTGTACTTGGAAGTGTGTTTAATTAGGATTGAAGCTAAACTCTGCAAACCAGTGGCCCTCCAGGAGCAGAACTGGAAACCCCTGATATACAATCTTGAAGAAGAAAGTCAGAAAGAGAGAAAACCAACCCAGAAGACATCTCTCTTTGGACATCCAGCTGTGAAAAGTCTGGAAGGTTTATCTGAGCATCTGGTGGTATCTCATCAGTGTTGAGAGTCTGAGCACATGCCTCCTGTAAGACATAGAGAATGGTATTATTGGTGAAAAACTGAAACAGACTTTAGCAATAGACAAATCACATCCATACAGCTATGACACACAACCATTACCGAAGCTTCTGGCACATTGACTAAGCTGTTTTTTGCAGTCAGGAGCGATGGCTCTAATGAGGGGGCAGTGGCTGGGGACATGGTTTCCTGCTCCGGACCAGGAGTAGCACCTGTGGGAAGGGAATCAAATGGATGGGAATGATGCCTGTCATATGATAAACCTCAATCTTTGGTCGTAGTGTTTTAAACTCACAAGAATCAGTTGGGGATGGTGATATTGACGACTCTGAAGTCAATCTCAAATGTGAAAGATCAAGCTCACCACAACAGTCCATTTCCTGTTTCCCAGAGGACTGTGCAGCGTCATGTTTGCTTGTGCAAATCTGAACAGCTATTGTTTCCTCCTGGGGGTCCTTGTTTAGGGCGTCCTTAGATCCACTTTCCTGTAGGGTAGGTTCTACACAGTGCTGAGGGCTCATTATGTTTGACGAAGTCTCGGGAGGTTCACAGGAGTGCGGGCGCATGGCAGCTATGGGAACCAGACCTTGAAGCACTGCGGCTGGAATCGGATGCGCCCCCATGCCAACTGTCTGGGCTGGTACAAACGCCCATTGCTGCTGGCCCGTGGCTGGAGAGTGGAAAAGATTAGCCTGACCCCAAATCACAGGCTGGCCTCCGGGGAGCATCTGGGCCACCTGCAATGGTCCCTGAACCCCGAAGACCACTGGAGCGGCTTGGGTAGCAAATGACTGTTGGGTCCAGTGAGCAGCCTGGATAGCACCCATGGTCATATAGCCTGAGAAACAGCAAAACATGTTGAGAATAAGTTTTATTAATAGCATTCATTTTAAAAATGACGTAAAAATCAGAACTTTGATTAAAAGATAAACTCTCAGGCAGTTGCTGTGTGTTACCTGAGGGCACAGCCGGTGGGCTAAAATGAGTGAAGAGTTCGGGACGGTGCTGACGTTGCCTCCTTCCAGGATCCAGTGTGGTAGCAGGCGACGCTGGCATCTGTGATGACATGGATGTCATTTTGGATATGAGATTGTATACAATGGTATCAAAATAAAAATTAGAGATGCACCGTTTGACCGGACATAAATTGGACCCAGTTTTGAATGGTTTTTGCTTTTATTACTTTAAACGTGATTGAATGATTTGTGCAGGTCAGTTTCATGCAGCATAATTTCACAAAGCTAAAGTCAGACCATTCTGTTTTGCTTTAAATTAAAAAAAATAATTATACAATCTAATTTAAATAAAAAACAGCTCATGCTAAATGTGTGTTGTACCTTTGTTTGGTTTTGGGATTAAAATGCAGTGGTTGCCTCTTAGTTTCAAATGGCTACGGATATTTTTGGTTTAAGGCCAGTTCGGCCTGTAGTAGAGCAGATAATCAACAAATAAATTTGCTTTAAAACAAACATTGGATTCAGCCTTTTTGCGTAAAAAAATCAACAAACAGAATCAGCCACACACACACACACACACACACACACAGGTTTGTTTTTGTGAAAAGTGGGGACATGGGGTAATGTCCTGAAAAGTCACCTTCTCCTTGTAATACCTATGTTATACCCTTGTCATTATACACATTTATGTCCTCATTTGTCACAAAAACGCGCGCACACACACACACACAGGTTTGTTTTTGTGAAAAGTGGGGACATGGGGTAATGTCCTGAAAAGTCACCTTCTCCTTGTAATACCTATGTTATACCCTTGTCATTATACACATTTATGTCCTCATTTGTCACAAAAACGCGCGCACACACACACACACAGGTTTGTTTTTGTGAAAAGTGGGGACATGGGGTAATGTCCTGAAAAGTCACCTTCTCCTTGTAATACCTATGTTATACCCTTGTCATTATACACATTTATGTCCTCATTTGTCACAAAAACGCGCGCACACACACACACACACACACACACACAGGTACACTGTTTTATATATATATATTGTATATATCTCAGGTCTTTTAATCCAAACCTAAATTGGGTAATATTAAAATATGTAATTTAAATGGTTTGCATTAAAAGTGAGACTAAGCACATGGGTGATTGTTCATTTTAAGGTTTACTTACAGAAAGGATGTCTGGGGGGGTTGCCATGTCACCGAAAAGATCAAACTGGTTTATATTCTGCAAGACAGTCAGAGAGGAAGATTAAGGATTATATCTGGAAGACATTCCTCAACACAGATTATCTGAACACTCAGTGTTCACTGAGCAAAGTAACCAAATCACAGTGAAATAAGTTATTGATCTATCAGTGGACCTAACAATGAAATAATGCTTCAATAGACAGTACTTGGCTACTACACATGCTATAGTGGTTATCAGATGAAGACATAATGACATGTCAATGACACTAACAAGTGAAGGGAATCAGGCGACAAACATTAATAAAACAAAACAAAAGGTACAAGCAATGACGTGGATGATAACTAAAATATATGACCATTTATCCAGAACCCAATGTGTATGCAAAACAAAAAGAAAGCCAACACAACGGTCATGTTCTATAGCAAATCTAGCAAATCACACCAGAAGACTCAGGTGTTCATAGATTCGGGCAAAATCAATGTTTGGCACGTGTGAGCAAACATTGCAGCAGGGAGACTGATATTTATGTGAGTAAAGCTCCAAGAACTCGGCAGGCTCCGACTGAATGAACAGACAAGCAATAACACTGTGAAATGGACTGATAACAATAATTTAACATGGATTCATTCTGGTGAAAGCAATGCTGTGTTTTGACTTCTATAGGTCTGTCTGGCGTTTTGCAATGAATGCTGATCTTCAAGTTTTTTTTTTTTTTGATAGGTTGTTGTTATAAATAATAAACTTTGAAAATTTTAGGTAGACATCACTCTGAAAATGTCCACCATAATGGTGTTTTCAAGCCAATCTTTATGTCTTTTGGTTAAATAAATAAATAAATATCCTTGTCATTAATGCATTGCAATAGTCACATTAACTTTTTCTAAACCCATGCAGTACATTCATACTAGAGGTGAACTCCCAAACCAAATCTCTGTTTGATTTCCCCCTCATTCATTTCCCTTGTATAACGTCACATAATACTGAAAGATTTGTAACATGGACAACAACAACAAAGCAATATTTTCAGTACATTGATCGCTTTCAATTTGCTTTAGGATTCAAAAAACTTTACATTTTCTAAATCAAGACAGGGGAGAAACATTGAGAGGTTTGTTTGAGGGAAGGTTGAGCGAAGGTTCGAGACGTGAGAAAACCTACGGTCATAAGATGGTGATTTGGAACGTCATAGATCCCATCTTTCTGCTGACTTGTGGGGACCTAAACATTATAGCAAGTTACGAACACAAGACGACTGCTATGCTTTAGTAATATGTATATATATATATATATATATATATATATATATATACTGTATATATATATATTGTAGGTATTTATATCTGATTGAGTACTGTATTTTTAAGCTCACAGAGAACTGCATGTTTAATTTGGGGAGATAATATTATAGGACAACTATTTTTAGATTGCACTTTCTTTCTGATATTGTAACTGTAGAGATGTGGGCGAAGAGGGGAGTGGCTTAAGCAAGTACCTGGTAAACGCTCTCCTCTGATTGGTGGCCACGGAGGGGCTCGTGTCCGGCTTCAAACACAATGTACTACAAGGAGTTGGGAAAGAAAATGAGAAGGGCCCCGTATGGAACCAATCAGACAGCGGCAACACTAAGAACATTCAATGCTGAATATTGTGTATCTTTATCCAGAACAGTGAGAACTCTAGATTGACCCTTTTTGTTTCCACAGGATAGAAAATCAGCAATGGTATCCCATTCATTTCTCAGTTGTTAGTTGATTTAATGGAAAGCAAATTTTACTCTTAGGTTCGGTGCTTCTCACAAAAAAAAAAAAAGACCTCAGTTATCTCAAAAAAGTGAGATATAATTTCAGAAGTGATGCTCAAGATGCCAAAGCCTACTATTAAAAGTCTCTGTATGAATCAATATTTCCTAAAATCAAATGATCAGAGATATGATTTTCAAATATATATTTGTATCTCTATACTCTACTAATATGTATATTTTTATTTCTCAAAATTTTGGGAGCAAAATTTGCTGCTGTTCAAAGGTTTGGGGTCAGTAAGAATTTGAAAGTTTTTAATAAAGCATCTTATGCTTATCAAGGTTGCATTTATTTGATAAAAAAAACAGTAATATCAATAACATTTGAGAAATATTATTAGAATTTAAAATAACAATTTATATTGTAATACTTCTAAATGATAAAAAAGTAAAAAAGAACAGGATTTATTCAAAGTAGAAATATTTTGTGACAACATACAATACAATTTAAATGTTTGGGGTCAGAACATTTGTTTTTAAGAAATTAATACTTTTATATTTAACAAAGATATGTTAAATTGATGTTTTTTTAAGTAATAGTAAAGACTTATATTCTTACAAAATATTTACATTTTTAATAAATACTGTTCTTTTTAACCTTTTATTTATCAAAGAATCCTGAACAAATATCACAGGTTCCAAAAACATATTAAGCAGCACAACTGTTTCCAAGATTGATAATAAATCAGCATATCAGAATGATTTAAAAAAAAAATTAATGATTTATGCATACGCTTTGACTTACAGTGCAGACAGGTTATACGTTTTTTACCAGTATGTGTGTTCCCTGAGAATCGAACCCACAACCTTTTGCACTGCTAACACAATGCTCTACCACTGAGCCACAGGAACATACATTGGATTGCTGAAGGATCACGTGACACTGAAGACTGGAGTAATGATGCTGGAAATTCAGCATCATATTATGATTTTTACTGTATTTTGGATCAAATAAATGCAGCCTGGATAAGCACAAGACTCTTAAAAAAAAATACAAAAATCTTACTGATCCCAAAATTTGAACGGTAGTGTACATATGAGTATAAGCTGATACAGAACTGAGAACTCCATTAATGCTGCCCACATATAATTTTAGCCCTGATCACAACAGTTAACGGTGACAAAAGCCTGAAACTGCAGGCAAATCATGGCCTGTTCACATCAGTAACTATTGCTAAGTGTGAATTTTCACAGATGCGATCTGTGAGAAGCGCCAATGCATTGCTTATGCCCAAGGTTAAATATCTAGACCTGTCTGTGATCCAAGTCCTGCGGTGTGAAATGAGTTTTGGCTGGAATTGACATTGCAATGACAGACTATTGTGTAAATGCGAAAAGAGCAGCAATTCAACAACTTTTAAAGTCACATGGTCATATGGCCGGCATACGTCTCATGAGCTATAAAATCTGATAATGTAATACAAATTACATTTATAAGAATACAGTACTAAAATTACTATTTCAACAGATAAAAACATGTTTTTTCCATCTCAAACTGGTCCAACAGCTTCAAAACTACTAAACCAAGCTACCTAACCGAGCTTGCATCATAGGGATTCTGGTTGGAGATGAATCTGGATGTGAAACTGATGGTTAAAGTTGTCTGTATTCAGTGTGAGCGAGAGAGCACTGGGTTCAACATATCAGAGAACATGCAGTACAGTACGGCTGTTTATGACTCTCCAACGAAACATAATATAGACAGAACCACAAAACATGACTGCAGATCAGTACACTGGCAATGACTAAATGCTTAACAGAAGTTCTGTGAGCATCGACTGCAAACAATATCAACAACACTTAAATGGAGGAGACTAAATGATCATAAAATCAAGTCTAGAATGTCAGTTCTTCATAAAATCAGGTTAAGCTCACCTGATACACTGGATCATCAATCTCATCCTCCAGAATCGTCTGTGTCAGCCATTAAGAAAAACAGATGAAATTAGAGCAAACCAAAAGAAATATAAAAACCGAGAATCATCAGAAATGAGCAACTCTTATGTCTGAAAACAGAAAAGAGGACAATGATGTCAAGCAAAGGTATACGTGAAGTATCCCATTCATGTATTTTTCGGACATAAAAGAACGTTGTTACTACAACTATGAAACTAAAAGCTACTGAGCAGCTAACAGATGCACAGCTTTGAATAATATTACTACATAAAACAAAAAGGAAAATTACTAACACATTTGAAATTTTGACTCAGTATGCATGATATTAACACATTTTAAACCATCAATTATAAATGTCTTTGATACAAACTTTTACATACAGACAAGTTACCATGATATCACCACCATATATAACTAATTGTGTCTATTTTAAAACACACACTCATTGCATAAACAGATGCATAATTTATGGTAAGTTAGATATACGTGAAGTATCCCATTCATGTATTTTTCGGACATAAAAGAACGTTGTTACTACAACTATGAAACTAAAAGCTACTGAGCAGCTAACAGATGCACAGCTTTGAATAATATTACTACATAAAACAAAAAGGAAAATTACTAACACATTTGAAATTTTGACTCAGTATGCATGATATTAACACATTTTAAACCATCAATTATAAATGTCTTTGATACAAACTTTTACATACAGACAAGTTACCATGATATCACCACCAAATATAACTAATTGTGTCTATTTTAAAACACACTCATTGCATAAACAGATGCATAATTTATGGTAAGTTAGAACAGCGAGAACTGCAACCGGTGACAAACAATAACAATAGAGTGAAATAATAATCAACTAACTACGACCAATTATCTGGCCCTCAAATGTTTACAAATATAACTATTGGCAGCAGCTATGTGCAAATGCTGACAGATTCTATTTATACTACTGTATGTGAAAATAGCGATAGATTCTATTTACACTATGTTAAATGGCAGTATTTTCGTTGCAATAAGTGTAAATAGTAGTTAGATGCTATTTATACTGCAAATAGTGGCAGATATCTACACCTCAGTATTATAGTACATTAAAAAAAACATGTGACTTTGTGAAACAGACTGTCCTTATCTAAAATGATTATAACCTAATATTAATGCTACAAAGGTAAAAAAAAATAGTCTATTATATATATAGTCTATATTCTATTTCATCATTAAAATCCCTTTTCACATTCGTCTTGAGTCAGGATAGTCCAGTTGAGAGGGGCTCAGTAAGTTTTACAGCAATTGTGGCAAAGTGAACGGCTGTTCAAAACACCCTCTTACATTATCAGTGATCATTTCTGTTTTATACCAGAGATTTATATGCCATTTCTGGCACACGGTCGGGCAGGACACATATGTGACTCTGGCAGGATTTGTCCTATCCTAACAAACCATACATCAACGGAAAGCTTATTTATTCAGCTTTCAGATCATGTATAAATCTCAATTTTGAAAAATTGACTGGTTTTGTGGTCCAGGGTCACATATGGACACCAGAAATGCATGCAGAATTTGACCCTAAAGAGTCATTGGCAATTTATTTGTTTGAAGAAAGTCTTGCTCTTGTTTGGCTCTTACCTGATAGACGGCTTGTTCGCAGTGCTTGTCCTTCTGAGCCTTTTTCGGTGACTCCTCCCTCTGTTTGATGTCATAGACGAGGGTGAAAAGGTCACGCAGGTCCAGTATGACTGGCTCTGCCTACGAGAGGACAACTGAGGTTATAGCTTTTAACTGGCATGAGAACAGTCTGAATTAAGCAGTATTAAGAGCTATGAACACTAACCGAATGGCTGGTCTTGATTGCAACAAATTTGTGGTTGCCTTTCTTCCCGCAGACGTAGCCGAAGGCGCGATGGTCCCTTGTGTCTTTGGCAATGTAGGAGATTTCATGCACAGCGTGGTGGTGCTGTAAGACCTGAGGATCACATCGTTATGTCAAAAACAGTGACTAGAAGAAGAAACATTTTCATACTATACCCTCTTTTTAATGCAAGAAGTGTGCTTATATTTGAATTTTGGACAGTGTCTGTTTACATCCTTATTGGCAAAACTGCAACAATTAGAGAGAAACAATCAGTTACCAAACGAGTATAATTAAACTGAAAGGTGATGTAACACCATTACAGGCATACCATAACATAAAAAAAAACTTTTTCAGGTAGTTAAATTAAGAGGGTGTTTACAATAAAACTGAAAACTTTTTTTTATGCTCAGTTACCAAACGAGTATAATTAAACTGAAAGGTGATGTAACACCATTACAGGCATACCATAACATAAAAAAAACTTTTTCAGGTAGTTAAATTAAGAGGGTGTTTACAATAAAACTGAAAACTTTTTTTATGGATTTTGGCCATTCATTTTCACAACTACTGGCATTTTTAGCACAATTGTTGTCATGTAAATGTACCCTAACATCTTTTGCTGGTGCTGCTGGGCTTTTTAAAAATTACATAAATGTTAAGACGAAACATTCTTAAAGTAATGATGTCTATGGAAGATTCTTATAACATTTTTAATATTTGATATACGTTCTCATAATGCTGAGAAAGAAAAAAAAAGATTCTTAGAACAACATTCTTTAATGTTATTTTTATTTGATGGATGTTCCAATAACGTTGAGAGAAATCGTTAGCATATAAAAAATAAATGTTACACTCTGGGTGAAAAAATAAGGTGAGTAGAATGTACTAAGAAACATTTTAGTAACCTTTAAATAACGTTCTAATTACAATAAGAAAACTGGACATTTTAACGTTCTCAGAATATTAAAAATTAGTGTTCAAATAATGTTATATTTTAGGTGAAAATTAAGTTAGTAGAAATGTTTTTGTATCTTAAATATCATAATCACGACAATAAGATTTGAGCATTTGAACATTTTGGCAACTCTCTTTGGATTTGAGACTTTAGTCTTTGCAACTTTACAGATCTTCTTTATGCACCAAGAGCTTGTAACACTCCAAAGAGAAAGAAAAAATTGAAATCGCATCATATGACCCCTTTAAATGTTTTCCAATCAGAGCAGTGTTTCACTGCACAACGAGGATCCTAGTTAAACAGATTTAGGGTTTACACTAATAAAACTAGGATGCACTTGCAGAATACACTTACCCCTGATCTCTCATCATAAATCTTGATTCCACCAAAAGACACAGTCAAGAAAATCCTCTGTTTGTGGTTCCCTTTTGACCGCGCTGAAGCAGCAATCCCCTGTAGCAGAAACAGAGAATAAATGAGGGAGAGAAGGATTAAAAGCAAGCATGGATGGAAACGTCTGCAGTAAAGGTACATTTTCACTATAATATGTTGGCATCGTTTGCATAGAGGATGTTTGCTCAGATGTTCTCGTTTGTAAGGTCACTTTTGATACTCTTTAGCACTTCTAAATGTGAAAGATGTGTCTAGTTTTGATAATTTTCTCAGACTTCTGAAGACAAAAAAGACAGTCATCATGCTGAGTCAAGACTTTCTCATTTTCTTAGCCTTTTGTTCTATGATGAAATTCTAAGCATGGTCACTTGAAGCAGGTTTGTAAACTTAACATCTTTCTCAAGGCAATACTGAATAGCTTAACTACAATATACACATGCAATGCATTCGCAAAGTGTTCAGACCCCTTAATGAATGTATTTATTTTTTGCTATGTGAAACAAATAAAGGCGTCTGAATGCTTTCTGAATGCACTGTGGGTGGCTTCCAATACCAGCGGTCTTGCTTATTCTTAATGAGTTGTCAAATCCTATTTCTACACTGAAATGCAAGACATTCAATATTAGAAATCCATGGCGTTGTAATCCATGAAAACCATCCCTCTTTCAACCTAAACAAGATAAAACCACACTGAAGAATTAAAAATAGAGATCTGAAACTACATTTACTGTACATGAAATGACAAAATTTCTCAGATTTTGAAACATATGTATTTTGTCCCATGTGTTGTCACAATAACAAACTTCTAGCTGAAATTTTCGATTCCACATTAAAACTAATTTTGTGTAACTAATGGACTTGTTTTGTTTGCATAACTGCTTCATTTAACCATTTTAAAGTGAAAAATACTAATAAATAATACATTCAAACAATAACATGTACCGTTCAAGTAAGCAATTGCATATTAAAGCTACTAAACTTATCCAGACAAAAGCAGTAAGCGATTTGATCTGTTTGATTATTATTAATGACATATTAGATATCAGCAGGGAGTAGAAAACATGCTTCACAACTAAACTGCATATGTTCATTCTTACAGTGAACACTGAATAATTCTCACTTCCTTTAAACTCACTTGAGTTGATGTTTCTCTAATAAAAATAAGGTTAAGAATCTTATCCCATGTTAAATAAATAATCGACTGATTATTTGTGTTATCTAGGTAACACTTTAGATTAGGGAACACTATTGACTATTAACTAGTAGCTTATTACTGATTGCATATTGACTGTTTATCAGTACTTATGAAGCACATATTAATATCTTATTCTGCATGACCATATTATAGAATATATGAAAAGTTTATTTGCAAAAATAGATAACTCCGTTTTTTTATTTTAAAAAAATCATGTTTTTTTTTAGAATGTTATCATGTTTTTTATTGTGTTAGTTAGCTGTATTTTATTAGATTTTTTTTTTGTTGTTATTTTTACTTAATCAAAATAACCCAACTGCAGTTTGATTGAGATTATTTGGAATGCACAATGAAAAACATGATTTTTGAAAATTGTTAAAAATTGAATTTTTGCAAATGAACTATTCATATGTGACCCTGCAGCACAAAAGCAGTCTTAAGTCGCTGGGGTATATTTGTAGCAATTGCCAAAAATACATTGTATGGGTCAAAATTATAGATTTTTTTTAATTAGGACATCAAGTAAAGATCATGTTCCATGAATATATTTTGTGAATTTCCTACCATAAATATATCAAAACTTAATTTTTGATCAGTAATATGCATTGCTAAGAACTTCATTTGAACAACTTTAAAGATGATTTTCTCAATATTTAGATTTTTTCACACCCTCAGATTCCCGATTTTCAAATAGTTGTATCTCGACCAAATATTATCCTATCCTAACAAACCATACATCAATGGAAAGCTTATTTATTCCGCTTTCAGTTGGTGTCTAAACAAATTGACCCTTATGACTGGTTTTGTGCTCCAGGGTCACATATGTCCATTTCATGCTTTTAAGAGCAATATAATGAATATTTCATCCATGAGATGTTTTTCCTTTGTTTTCATTTGCATTTATTCATTCACCAGATGTTTTTTTTTCTATCCAAAGTGACTTACAAATGCAGAAAATCACAAGCTTTGTATTGAATTTGTATAAAACAAAGTATCGTCCCGCTGTCTTTGCTTTCCTAGCTTTACTGAAGCAATCACACCTCCTGCTCTTTGAGGACTCTTTACCTTCAGCTTCATCATAGAGTCCTGGCACAGCCTGTCTCCGCGTGTGGCCGTCACTTCATCAATCCCAATCAGCTTGGCCTTGTAACTGACGCCATCGCCCCTGAAGCGCTGAATCAGGTCCTGCTCGCTGCGATCCCGACCTGAGCAAACACCACAGAGACGAGTGAGACTGCAGCTCAGTCAAGCTGAAAAATCACAGTCATTAACCATTAGAGCATGTTATGCTGGAATATTTGCACGTGTGCACAAGGCCACTGTATGGTAAGTGTTCCAAAATGCAGCACAGCAATTCCATAGTTCATAAATTATCAAAACAATCAAAAAAATGATCTGGATTACTTTTAAGACCCTGGAGCACAAAACCAGTCATAAGGGTCAATTTTGGTAGTAAATTTAGAAAATATCTTCATGGAACATGATCTTTACTTGATGTCCTAATGATTTTTGGCATAAAAGAAAAATCTATAATTTTGACCCATACAATGTATTTTTGGCTATTGCTACAAATAGCAGCACTGAAACTAAAACGCATCAATTAAACATGAGATAAAACGTACAGGTGAATGTCATGAAGAAATGGCCAGTCATATCTCTGCTATGAATAAAAACAGCAAATGTAGCCTATTTTAGACCCATTAAGATCATTATGTTGTTTTCTAACAAGACCATTTTTATTGAAATTATTTAAGCCCGTGTTTCATTATAAAGCTTTAACTGTGTTCTGGTTTGAAAACTGAAATTGCTCTGCTGAAAGCTACTTCTTCACTCAATATTTTGGTCTATTCTCAGATGACAGCGTAAGTCTTCTGGATGCGTTGAAATGAAAGTAGCTCAGTGAATCTCCTCGAGGAGCATGTGTGAGCCAGCAAATGTTCAGCAGCTCTGTGAGAGCAGGACAGATGGCAGCATATGGGGAGGAGGACGAGCGTCTCCAGACACATCGATCTGTCAAGAGGCTGTTCAGATTTTGGAGTCCTGACACAGAAACTCATCGACCTTTCAACCCCCGAGAGACAAATGACCAGATACACCTCATATTTAATGCGGAACAGACAGTATGGTTTATTATGACTCAGACAACAGCGTTCTGAAGAGAGGTAGGAAGTATAAATATAAAATTGTGTTTTAGCAAACTTTGTCAAAATCAATGTTTTAGTCTTTGAGAAATTATCTTTTTTTTTTTTTAAACTGACACTAAAAAACTGAACTAGTAGAAAAAAAGAAAAGAAAAGAAAAAGACACACAATACATAGTTATAGGAGTATTAACAATTTCACATGTCTATTGTATTTTCAATATTACAGCTTTTTTCAGCTGCTTACACACATTTTCAAAACTTCAGATCTGAGAATTGCACACACACAATGCTAAATGCCTCACATCTCTTGCAAAATGAAGCACTGCATTAAAAAAAAATCACATCTCGAAAGCAAACATTTGCAAACACCGTTGCCATAATATTAATTCCTGTTAGATTTGCGTGTGTTACACAGAGAATTGTGTGTTGTGTTTTGCAAAAAGTGTTTTATGAATTTTAAAGGCTGAGAATTAGCGTATGGTTTTGGTGTGTGCTTCTGCTGTTTGAGTGCCAGCTTTCAGAAACTGTGTGAGAAGGAAAGATTTAATGTTAATCAAAATTAGCCATTATACCACTAATTGTAACACGGGGGAGAAGGGATGCAGGAGAAGATGAGGATCTAAGTGTAAGGGCTAGCCAAATTTAGCAAAACGTGTGTAAGCAATAGGCAAAAACTGTAAAAGTTCAAATGAAACCCAGAGAACAGGAAGGCAGATGAAACTACCAGCAAACATTGATTGAAAGGAGCTAACAAGACACACCTGGGGAGACTAATCAAGGGGGAACCAATGAAAAAACAGACAACAAACTGACTACAAAAGACACAGGACACAGGAAATGACATTAAAGTCCAGCACATGTAACACTAATGCAGTCGTTGATCTTGCAGGCAAAGATCAATCAGTCAATCAATAAATGGGAGATTGTGGTACTTGGATATTCTGATTTGATAAAAGGAGGACATCTGCTCAGGATGAAGAGGTCACCAACTGACCATGGACTGGTGGTTGCATAAATAAATATTAATTGGTTCCATAAATAAATATTCATTCATGATATCCACTAACTGGTGCCCTTTGCTTTATTAAGTATGCAAAGCTTTATTTATATAGATTTATAATATATTTGATTTCTATAGTTTTTGTATTTGTTTATATTTATTTATAAAGTGATTTACAGAAAACACACAAATGTCTTGTAATAATATAAACCGCAAAATAAAATAATAGAATCAAATAGAATAATTGTATGTATTTTATTTGCATGGAAAAGAGCAGCGTGAATATTCTGCCCAATATCTTGTTTTGTGGTTGTGATTTACAGGGAGCTTTGGATACAGTTTGTTAAAATAATAACTACATTTTATTTTTGTATTATATAAATTTGATACCTTTTTAAAAGGACATATACAGTATGTGTATGTGAAAATCATCTGCTTTTTTGTACGGTGCATCAATTTATGATGACACCAAAAAGGACATTTTTCACTCATTTTTGAGGTGGACTGCAGTCAGCAGGCGTTTCTGATCTGGTATCATGTTTAAAGTGTGGATGTGATGAAAGTGTCTCAGTGTGCTCAACCCGATATTTCTGATGCTGTTATTTCAGAGGCCGTGGCTCATTTACTTAGAGTTTGACGTTCAGCCGGAACTGCCACAGGTTACTGTGTGTGTGTGTGTGTGTGTGTGCATGCGTGTGTGTGTCTGTGTCTGAGTGTGTGTGTGTGTGTGTGTGTGTGTGCATGTGTGTGTGTGCATGCGTGTACCTCTTTTTCTATTCTGGTGGGGACTTAAACCTGAATACACACAGGCTCATGGGGACTCGTGTCACGGTGGGGACCTAAATTG